CGCTTCATGAACGTTCTAGAAGCGCGTGGCGTGTTACTAGCGTCACGTGACCTCCGCTGTCCTAACAATATGGTTAAAAAATAATAATCTTATCAATGTTGTATGATCAGTTTATGGGAAAAAATCTCTTCCCACTTGTGATATTTTTAGGTAAAACTGAGTTCCCTCAAGAGCGAATAAAATAAGTCCGCAGCAGATTCGATTGCGACCACGATGTTTACTACAAGTAATTCTGAATTATTTGCGTCTGACTGAGTTTGTGGTAGAAAAAGACGGAATACAATAAAGCACACAGTGAAAACAATATTTATTCAAGAACACAAACTATAGTGTGTGTGTGTATATACTTATTAGACGAAAGACAGTCAGCTTTACTGGAGAGATAAAAGTTGTTGAATCTACAATACTTTATTCCAGACTATATTTCCCTTAAACCTTTACATTTAGTTCCAGTCTGAGAAAACATCCCGTTGTCTATTAAAAACAATAACGTCACTCTTTCCCAGGGCGAGCAGCGACACATTAGAACAGAAGAGAGGTTGTAGCCTTGAGTGAAATACCATCTGACCTTTCATTGGAGAAACACGGTGTCTACTTTCATACATTAAATACAGCTTCATAGCTATCTTCTCCATGAGCAGACAAGGAGTTACCACTGGTGAATGACATTGACACAGAACAATAGGTAGCTAAAATGAAAGGAGTTTAACGAATTCCTTGACCACCCTGTTAGGTTAAAACTACACATACACTATAATAGATAAAAAGTTTTGAAAATTCTATATTAACACAAAGAGGTAATAAATAGATAATATACAGCACATAAATAGTTGTGGAAATTATTCATAATTTGGACTCCACTTAATAGCTATTACTATTAAGTTTTAAAATATAAATTTATCAAATGGATTCATATATATTATTTTTATTTTTTCTTATAGTATAATATCACAATAAAAATACATTTGAAGTTTTTTCTATCATAAAAATAATTAATGAAAATTCTAATTCTAATACTTACAGATACGGTTATTACGACACAAAATGGTTCTTCATAATGATTTGGATAATACTATCTTGTTTTTGAGTGCACATTGGCGTATTGAACCCAAGAGCCTTCTGAGATAGTGTTACTTTGTAGTTGAAATTCTTCTGTTCTGATGTGATATTTGACTACTAGTATTTCCAGCGTGCTTTATTAAAACATTATGATTTTCTAGATAGATTTATATTATTTCTTCGTTAACATGAGATTTAATGATAAAGAACTCCGCTCTGTTGCTCTTGGAAAAACGGATAAAGAAGGAAGACTTAATCACAAAATTCCCGGATTTATAGAAGGTATGTCAACATAAGTTAAGCCTTATGCCTGAAGTTATGGCCTTATCCGTTATCGTAATGCCCCATGTTAATATTTTACTAGTGAATGGTCTTATTTTTATTTCAAGATTAATTTGTGACGCCTGTCTTTGTGTCTGTGCGTAATGATCTTCACGAGTAAAGCACTCACCTGTGAACACGTTGTTTTTGGCCATAAATTTTACTTCATAAGTTTATTAAACTTATTAAGATTATGTTGAACATTATATAATTATAAGTATTACTAATATTAGTATTAGGGGTGCGTATCTTACAGTTATAGTAAGCGATATCATACATATCTACTATCTAGATATTGATGCCACTATACAATACATATCTATATACAGAAGTTTTACCAAAGGTTTGTAACAAAACAAAGTTTGACAGTTTTGTCTGTAATTTATTACCTATATATATAATACTAAGTACTTTAAGTACTTCACACTTTACAAATTACAGTGCTTTTTCAAATTCTCAGGTTTGATCAACTAAATTGCAGCTGGCAAAAGAATTAAGATAAAAAAGTTAACATCTGTCTATCTGTTTTGTTATTGTTAATTTGTTATGTTATATTGCATGTAATGTTTTTGATAAAAGAAATGCAGACAACAGTTGGTACTAAACACTCATCTTCCTTTATTGAATCATTAATTTTTAGCAAAAACACTTTATTAGAAATTTTGATTTTTTTCTGTACAAAAGACTTGTAACGTTTACTGAAAGCTTATCAAATTTCTTGAAGATACATAAATCATATTGTATCGGACAATGTATCGATACAATCATATCACAGCTTAATGATACAATACTTGTATCTCTCTATTGCCACACCATTAATAAGTATATCATAACTGTGTGAAAAGAAATTGATTTCTGATTTATTAATTAAATAAAAATATAATTATAAATACAAACTGAAGCAAGTTTATTTGTTTAAATGTTTGTAAATCCAGCAGAACAACTTGCTGAGATTAATTTCCTTCAGAAGTTCAGGTATTTAAACAAGTAATGTATCTTAAAATAATCACAAGTTTTACTACTACATAGTACATATGTATATATGTTCATTGACTGAACATTGAGCTTAAGTAGCTATAGTATTTGAACAGTAGCCTACACAATAGCAACTCTTTTTAACAAATAACTAATCATTTTTATTGATTCTGTACTTAACTCGTGATATGAGCAACACTCATGTTTATCTATCACAAACATAATATTCCCAATGTTTGTCTAGGGTTAGCATTACTCATATTCTAGAAATTCTTGGATTAGTTAATATTTGTATTAATCAAAACACTACATAGATAGTGGCATCTGTTGGTCAGTCTTGTAATACGAAATGTAATTGATAATAAATAAATATTTATAATACAAAACAATGCAACATCTTCTACACCTAGTCACAGCAAATAAACATTTACAAAAAACAATTACACTATTCTCAAGAAACTATTTACAAAACAATGACATGATGCTGTAGAAATGATTTAAAAAATAACAATGCCATGACCTACTGTAGAAAGCATTTAAAAACAATAATGGCATGGTACTTTAGAAATAATTTATGAAACAATAATGACATGATACTGTAGAAGCCATTTAAAAACAATAATGGCATGGTACTTTAGAAATAATTTATGAAACAAAAATGACATGATACTGTAGAAGCCATTTATAAAACAACAATGACATGATACTGTAGAAGCCATTTATAAAACAACAATGGCATGATACTGTAAAGCCATTTAAAGAACAACAATGACATGATACTGTAAAAGCCATTTAAAGAACAACAATGACATGATCTGCTGTAGAAACCATTAAGAAAACAACATTTACATGATACTGTAGAAACCTATAGCAAACAACAGTTATATGCTATTAAATAATCTAATTTTTTTCAGGTTACAAAGAAAGATGGTTCAGACTTAAAGGAAACCTGCTGTTTTACTTCAGAGTGAATGAGTTTGGTGCTATGATTGAAAAGGAGGTAAGGGAGAGAGTTACAGTTTTTTACTTTTAATTTAATTTTTTTTAAATTATGCTATAGACACCAAATAATGTTTTATTTGCTAGCTGGAAAAAATAAGCTACTGTTTTGAATAAACATAAGAAGCAAATGTCTGTAGCATTTTATAAAAATTAACTTACAAGCAAGAGATGCAGTTTGCAGTTGTTTGTTACTATTTGGAATAATCTGTTAGAAATTAAAATAAGTAAAAATCAGGTTGGTGTGGAATTTTTTTTAAGCTGACATTAGAGGTCTGTTGGAGAACTTGTTCTGTGTTAGTAACATTATAGAAGTTATGGTGAAACAATCTACACAAAAGAAGAGGTTATGATGCTGTTGCAACACAATACTGATAACCTTTTTCTTTTAATTCTGCAGCAAAAAGTTTAATAGTGATCAAACTGTGGACCTTTAATATTTAAGAACTAAATGTTTCCTTTGAAAATCTTTCATTTGTTTCTGAGCACTTAATTTTTGTATTCAAACTTGTTTTGTACAGAAAATCAATAAATTGATACTTTGTATGACTGGAATTTTTTTTCTACTTTATTACAATAACTAATTAATCACATTTTTATGAACTTGTCTATACACTCATTAAACCAGGCATAGAAGGAATTAAACCTTCACAGTAGCATTGAAAGTCACAGCTATATGATTAAAATTTGGTTTATGATATAGGCTAATGTTTATTAATAATTTCTTATTACATTTTAGTATATGGAAATTATGGTATAAGAATTTTTTAGTGTACATTTCATAGAAGAAACTTTGCAATATTTCTTCATATTATGTATCACCTATAGTGTAATACCTGTTTTCTTTTGCCTTTTTGAAACAGCCTGTTGGACTGCTTGTTATAGAGCAGTGCAAAATTCAGCATGAGACATATAGTGATTTACCCTTCAGTTTCTCTATAAGTAAGTATTTGTCTGTTTGTATTTATTATGTGAAATATTTTTTATCAGATCTGCTGAATTATCACAAAATTAAAAAAGTATGAGAATAAACATTTTTATGTATGCAGTTAAGTAAAATATTAATTGACTTATCACTCATCTACATAATTATCCAGTATAAAATGTACATCTTTAGAAATTGATCAGATATTGTTCAACATTTTAGGTACAATAATTTCATATGATATTTTTAATCTACATACATTACAACAAGTTTTACATAGTCTAAGATATTTTTCATTCAGGCTATATATGTATTTAACACGTGCATGAGCCAGGATTACTCTTTTCTGGTGATGAGATATTTCTAACCCATTGTGGTTTTTGACAGAATTTTTTGAAACTTTACAAGCTGGGTCCTTACACTAAAAGGTGTTGATTTATGCACTTTTTGTCATACACATCTTATTGAGATATTTTTTTATACGTATATGTGTTACACTGAATTGTATAATTTACAGATTAAATTTGAGTCAATTGATATAATTTATGCTAATCTTTCTGAGTGCTTGACATTTAAGGTTTAAGGCACTTGCTGTACCTTTAACTGATCACAGGATGAATGGTCCACAGATATCATATAAATGTAAATGGCCCAGATGCAAAGTTTGCTTAGCTTGTAGTCATTGTGGTTGTTCCTATGATGGACTGTCTCCGGAAACAAAGTTAGCTTGGAAACCAGGTGGGAAGCAACCAGCAAACCCTTTACAATTGGGGAAATGTAAAGAAAATATAGTTAGCTATGTGGGGCCAAGTGATGGCTTGCTTGATGTGGTTCCAGAAGTGAAGAATCTGACTGAGGTTGCCCAAGTTAGAAAAAATGAAAAGGGTCCAAACAAACTCATGGTATCTCTAAAATAGTAACATGATTATTCATGACATTTGAAACTTCTTTGGTTTGGGTGCAGATATGACAAACAATCTTCAAAGTGAAGAGCAATGAAAAAATGCTAAGTTTTTGAGTCGCTAGACTCAAATAGGGCCACTCATGTCTCTGAGGATGTACTTTTCAAAGTTTGTTATGCAACTTTGTCTCAAGATCTAAAGGTATTGATGAGAGCTGTAGTACAAAGAATTTTTGATTGTGAAAAACCTGATTGCACAAAAACATGATAAAAATGCAAGCAACTCTGTCAGAATAGTGTCTACACAGAAAAGTTCTTTTTGCAGCTATCTTTGCTGGCTTAAAATTCAAGCAGATGCAGGAGTTGATTCCTTCATTTGGCAAGAAAAACTAAATCAGCTAGAAGGAACTGTGGTGCATTAATGAAGGGAATAATGATTAAATCAAATATCTGTCAAGTTCAGCGATACAACTTATCAATTCTTCAAAAGGCTGTCACTTGGTAATAATGGACTACAAGATGAAATATGAGCCACTGTATTTTTGAGAGAAGACACTTGAACACTATGGAAAGAAAAGTATGTCATGGCATGGAACCATGGTATACACTAGAAGTGAACAAAGATGTACGAATGATGAAGCTGATAATGAAGATGATGTTCCTGGATATTCGATTAACTATTATGATCACATATCATCTGGGGATTCAAAGCAGGACTGGCTTGCAGTTCTTTTGATTTATGAGGATATTATGATGCAGATGAAACTTGACTTGCCTCATATTATAAAAAAAGTATGTTTAGTCAGACAATGGAAAATATTACCAGAATGGAATGCTATTATTAGGTATGCTTTTAATTCATGCAAAGCATAATGTTCAGTTGAAGTCTTTTGTGCACACTGAGACCCAGGATGTCAAAGGATATATCGATGGGTATTTTGCAGTTGCAATGAATGCAGTTATAGCTTTTGTGAATATGGGGTACAATGTAATCTCCCCAAAGGAACTATTTCATGTGTTGTAGAATGATGATGATTTGAAGAGCACTAGAGTTTTAATTTTTACATTATAGCGTAATGTTGTTGATATCCTGACAAGTTCATATAAAGATACATTTTCTCTTTTTAGCCATCTTAAATATTTTAATGAAGCAAAAGTTGTTGATAATGAGCTTCATGATTTCAAATATTCAGGAACTGTGGAACAGAGCAGTATTAATGGAAACATTCCTGGTCTTCATGGAACTGTTGAAAATGTGGAAGAGGAAAAAATTCTTCAGACAATGAAGAAAATGCAGAAGAAGGAGATGTTGCCATACACGATGAAAATGAAGAGAGAGAGAGAGAGTAGTTGACGAGATGCATGAGGATGAATTTACTTAAAATCATGAAGATGAAATTTACTTAAAATCATGAAGATGAAATTTGCTTCTGTGGATCATTGATTTCCTGTAGCTTTGTTCATTCACCTAATTCAACAAGATGATGTAGTGGATGAAACCGTCTGTCAAATATGTCAAGGGTGCTTTCATTCAGGAAAAACAAAGGAAAGGCACAAATTTGAAGGTGCTAGGAGTAGCAAAGATATGATAACAATTGGCCTTAAGTATGAAGTAGAGTTGGTTGATACTGGTCGTGATGATTTTATTGATATGAAGCATGATCCATAAAGTAATCAGAAATTTGGACACTCTCTAAAATTGTGTTTGCTGCATTAAATGAGGATAATATGGATGATTTTGTGCCTGAAGAGTTTAATGCTGGTTTGATTAAATGCCCAAGACATGGAGAAGTGTATGTAAAAAAAAATTGAATTTTTCATGACAAAAATTGAGGCTCTGTTTATAGTAGGTGTTGAGGATAAAAGAAACAAAGTATGGCCTGGGCAAATGCTTGAGAGATTTTGTGCTGATTTTCCAGATAGACTTGACCTTACATCTGAAACAGAAGTGCGGCAGTATATCGCTACTTTGACAGCAAAGTTCAAAAAGCATGGCATTCTTATTATTGCCCCAAGAGGCATTCAGAATCCATTTGGAGCTACAATGAAGTGTTTTTGTACATGAGGCCAGATTACCCCAGTGGTGGGAATGGCAAGATTCAAGGAAGTACATACTCAAGATAGCAATGACATGAATTACCCAAGTGATAAAAAGGTAAAACAACTTGTATCACAATTGAAATCAAAATAAAAGAAGGCCATGAATACAACAGAAGTTTAAGTCTGTAAGCTTTATTGCATTAGAATTCATATTGCAGAAGTTAGTTTCATTCATATTGTTTAACTAGATTTAGGTGCTGTTAAGTACTGTAATATGTTGAAGATGTTGACGGCCACATTTTCTCACATATTTATCCAATTTGAAATAAAAAACTGATTCTGACTTGTCATTTTCTATTCTATAACTTACAGTACTCTTCTTTCCACAATGCTTTTTTTTTACAGTCACCAAAACACCTCAAAAAGAGTATCCCTGGCTCATGATGCACATGTTAAAATAAGTATGTGTTATACTTCTTATTTTTGACTGTAGACTGTAAATGAAATTTCAAAGCTAGATAAGTTTAGATATTTACTGAAATAATTCCAAACTTGTGATATAATTAAACAAATGTGCTATTTTATAGCCTTTTGTGAAGATCAAGAGAAAAAACATATCTTCTTGTGTTCAACAGAGAAACAGTGTGAAGACTGGGTTAAAATTCTTCAAGAGGCAAGGTAAGAATAGTCTTTAGGCTTTATAGAGTAACTGACAGTTGGCAGTTTAATTCTCATTAAAAGCTTTATGGTGAATATCAAGTGTCTTATGAAAGTTGGTATCTAAAATCAGGCTAGCCATAACACATTTAACTGAAGTTATCTTAGATGATTTAAAAAATCTACAGACTATGGTTTATCAGTAGATAACATTAAAAGATTTGTGCTACTCTTCCTTTTTAAATTAACATCACAAAGCCAGGTCCATCTTCTTTCCCTCTAGGAAAATATTCCATGACGTGGACTACTGTGCACTTTAAGGTTTCAACTACTCATCACTTTTAGGCTGTCAACTAAGGGTCTGAAACTACCTTTACCTTTAGTTTGAAAACACAAAGTTTGGACTTCACTTTGCTCTTAGGGTTTTGGCAACTGTACGTCTAGGGTGACAGTAGAGAATATATACTACAATTCATCTTTAGGATGACACTTACAAGTTCTGGCCATTCTTCATTTTTTTGAATAACATCACAAGAACAGTCTTTCACATTCATGTGGCAGCAAATAATATGAATTACTTTTAATTGGAGGTCTAAATAAATGTCTTCACATCTTAAATAATGACACAAGATCTAAGCTACTTTCCTTTATACATTTTGGACAGGAGTCCTTGATTGCCTTTCACTTAAACGTAATATTGCATTGTTTTGAATACATACATTTCTAACTAACACAAGATTTGTTCTGTCCTTCTTTCCTAGAGTAGTAACATAAAATATGTACTACCTACCACTCTTAAGATGACAACACAGAGCCTAGAATATACTGATGATTTATGTTGTCCTTCGTTCTGGGGAAACAACACATGATTTGAGCTTCCTCTCATTTCTAGGGTAACACACAGTTTGTCCTATCCTCCTTCTAAGGTAAACACAAACAAGCACAAGATTTGAGAAGCTCGTAACTTTAAGATTTTTGTAAGATGCAGGGATGAATTAGGTTTGATGGGAGGTTCGTGAGCTGTTAGTTTTAGGGATCTTTATTTGCATATGCCATTTTTTCCCTTTACTGTTTTACTACTTCCCATGTCCAGTGCCAAACACTGTTGTTAACTTCAGTTATGGTTTTTAAATGTAATAAACCAATTGTAAAGTGGCTACAACTGAATATGACTTTGTAAAACAGCCATGTTATTCTGATCTAAACAGTCACATGCTGTAGTTCAGTAGTAGTTCAGCTGCTCCAACTGAATATGACTTTGTAAAACAGCCATGTTATTCTGATCCAAACAATCACATGCTACTTATTTATCACATATATTCTAAAGTATATACTGTATTGGTCCTCTTATAGGGCGATCTTGACCCCCATTTTCAGAAACCATGGGGGGAAAAAAAAATTGAATGTCATAATATCCTTTTTTTAGACCTGCAAAATCAATACTATAACTGAACAGCCTGCAGGTGGATTAGTTGCCAGAATTAGCAATGTCCTTGAACAACCATCTGGCATGCATGCATAGGAATGTGACAGGCTAGAGTAGGGGGAAGGGGGCATGTGGTAGGCTGCAATTATAAGGCAACTATGAATTTTACAGCCTAATTATTAATCAAAACACATCACCTTATAATTGGGCCAATATGGTATATATTTTTTATGCCCCTCAGTGTCTGAGGCCCCAGGCTGCAGCCCCTGTGTTAATCCAGTATGGATAAGGCAGTACAACACTTTTGTTTCTAGCATCATAAAGCAAGGTTTAACTATCTAGTCCATCAGGGTAACAATATGGAACCATGGCAGGTTTAATCATTTTACTGGGACCTGTACTTATTTTTCTGGAGTAGTTTTAAAAGGTGGTTTCAACCCAATGATTTCAGCTAAATTGAGTCTTGAAGCTTGGTATTAAAATATGTCCACATAATAGATACCTAGTTTATTTTTACATAGCTTTGATGATGTTAATAGAAATATCTAACTACAAAACTTTTGTAGTATAATTCAATGTATGTATATTTTGAAAACTATTTTTAATCTGTTCTGTACACTATTAATAATATAATATACAGTAGTAGTTCAGTAAGCTTGTATTGCCAACCATCTATATTATGGCTATGTAACGTGTTACACTTTCTTCACTTTTTACATGCTTAAAAGTGTTAGAAGTGGATTCAAAATCAGCTCAGTTTTTTAATGCAAAGAGAGACTTGAAACAATGCAAGTAAGGAAGTTGTATTGACTGAGTTCATCCAGGTTAAAAATGATAGTAGAAAGGGCATTTACAAAACTAAATTAACTGAAGTAACCAGATGATTTACATGGCACCTAGCATGTAATGAAAGTCCTGTAAGTTCTGTGTATAAATGTAAGTTTGAATTTTTTTTTTATTTTTCTTTGTAAATAACACTAAGAATGTGCTAAAAAATGACACAATATTGATTCTAAAATATTTTTGAATAAAAAATTGATGAATTAGAGTTCAGATTATTATTTTTATTTAACTTTTGAAATTTGATAAATATGTGTGCACACGACACTTCAGAGGTGCTCACTGGTTAAGATAGGATTAATGTGCTTCCATCAGTCTCAGCCAAAATATCAAACCTATTTGTAAATGAAACTTCAGTAAGTTTGGACTATTCTGAACAATGTTAATTGATCTTTACTATAATCTGCACACTGAAACACAGCTTATTCAAATTGCCAGTTTTGTATTGTTGAATGAAAAAGAAAAGGAAGAGAAATAAGAGCAACGCTAGTTTGTGACAGAATCGATTTATGTCTCCAGAGAGACAGTGTTGAACTCCTAAACATGTTGGTTTAGGTGTTTCATTGCATCAACTGACACAATCTAAAGAGGTAGTTAATATCCTTAATAAGCACTTTACCATTGTATGTATTATACTTATAGTTGTGATATAGATTTAAATATTTGTATAAACCTAAATATTATGGAAATTATTTGGCATTAACTCAATATCATCTTGGATTTTTCTGTCTTTTTCACAGAGTAGGTTCCAAACCTGCAAACTACTATCAAATTTAGTAGTTCGTACTTAGTATATTTCAAAGACTGTATGTACAAATTCTTGTGCTTTAGTTTGAAACAATGACAAAAATATTAAGCAAAACATAAAAAATATATCATTTTTGTTTTTTAAGCTCTTATTGACCTTACTGTGACTGAAATGCTCATAAAAGAAAATTTGTACATCTTCAGAATATTACATTCACCCTGGTGATATGTACCAAGGGTCAGGCTACAACATGGCATAGGTGAAAATTTTCTAGCTGATGGGTTGCGCAAATTCAAAAAATAGGGGCCCTTTTCAGGTTTGGGCCTTGGGCTACTGTACCTTGTCCAAACTTACCTTTGATTCTTATGATTCTTAATGAACCATTTGTGAAAATATCCCCTCCCCCCTATAACAAATAGTTTTTAAGATATGAGCATTTTAATCATGGTTTTCCATAATTTTTTTTGTAAATCATTTAAAATTTCTTTTTCTCTTTACGGTCACACTGTATATGTACATGCTAATTTGACTTACTTGTACTCATGCTTCATATCTCATTTTTATGATAATAATTATTTTTTTTTTTTGAAAATTAATCATATAACTTGAAACATGGAAACATTTTTTTAATCATATTAGTGTGTGCAATTTATGGAATGATTTGCAAATGTAATCAAAATTTCAAAACATTTTGTATTTATATCCATCAATTTATTCCAGGTAATTTTGTTCTAATTACCATCCAAGAAAATATAATATTGTGTTTCCTAAGTGAATAACTTAAAATTAACTATATGAAATTTTTATATGAATGTTTGATAAAAAGTTGGACATAAAAAATATGTTTTCCAGTTATGAGCATCAAAGAGCAAAGCTTCTTCTCATACAAGCTAAACTACTAAGGAAAACAGGAAAGGTATGTAAGATCCTTTATTTTCTTTCTTTTTAAGTTTTCACAGGCATCTAGTGCTTTTAAACATTGTGGGTGGTTTTTAAATGTATGTCTGTTATTTTATATTACATGTATGGTTTACATTTAACTCGGGAAGCACCTTGTGTATCCACAGGCTCTCTTTAGTGTGCGACATTTCTTTGTTTGGGAAGTGTGGACCACAAAATGCTCTGTACTAATGAGAGCCTGTGAATACACAAGGTGTATCCTGAATTAAATGTAAACCAAACAGTGTCATCTCTCCTTCAGTTAGATGTAGTTTTGTTCTTCATAAACTATTTTTTTTACATTGTTCATGTATTGATTAAAATTTTTTTAGTAGAGTAAGCTAATATTCATTAATGTGACTAATTATCTTGAGACGTCAATTTTTTTACACTGTACAAGTAAGAGGGTAAAAGTTATTCTTTTGGCTGTTGCAGTAATTTTCTCTAATTAATGTTATGTAAATGCTTGTATTTTTGTGAACATGTTTTATATTGTCTGTCTCATGTTCTGTGAATTCACTTATTTGTATTGATGTTTGAAGCAAGCTTCTTGTACATATTTTTTTTTCATGATACTATATTATTCTCTAATATAGGATCCTCTTGAGGCTTTCCCTAATCATCGTCATCACAGGTTCTCAGCTTCTCCCTTTTTCCGTCAGAAGTCATTGTCCAAAACCAGTTCAAGTGCAGTGTTTTTTCAGTGATAGGAAACAATGTTAATTGTCAGTAAATAGAAGATTTGTTTGACTAAGTCATACTGGAAGAATCATCTTTGTGGATCCACAAGTTTTATTAATTTGTTAATATAAATCACTGTTTCATTGAAGATTTTATTGCAAATATTTTTTTTATCAAAACATTATTATTTTTACATAAGTATTGCACTTGTTAATTCAGCTAAAACACTTGTGTACTGTGTAAATTTCTATCTTGTGCTGTTTGTAAGATGCTTGTATTAGATACACTGATTATATCTGTGAATAGTAAATGTTCAGAACATATGGAATTTCACAGCTTTCTAAAGACACTTTTTAAAGAAAGGTATGTAGTGAAATATCTTAAAACTTACCTGTTTATTGTGTTACCTATCTATAAGAGTTTATTATATTATGCATTCAGAAGCTCATGAAATATCTTCAGTAAATCTAATGAATGTTGTCTTATCATCAATAAGTGTATTGTTAAATATACCATAGCTTTAACTGTTCATTGAGGTGGAGGGCTTCTGCTTCTAAGAGAAGTTTTTATTGTGATGTTGATATTAAATTCCAAAGAGAACAAGCTACCTAAAAATCAACCTAGTATTGAGCATAGCTTATTAGATATACTGTTATTAAGTTCTTACCTGTAAGGATTAGAAAGCATTGTTGTGTCAGTTGAGGTTTCACCAGCTTAGGAAGCTTAAGTTAGTCCCTAATCCACATACCAAGCTAACAGTGCAAAATATACTATAATAAAAGAATATTAATTAAAAAATAAATAATAAAACTAGTTATATTAAACAATCTAAGCAATACTGTTAATGAAATTAACATTAAAGAAAGAACAGAATTTAATTAGGCCAAAAATCTAGCTTGTTTGACAGAAACTTTGTATTTGCGGTATGTAGGTATGGAAACAACTTTTGAATAGCTTTAGTTTGTACAGTTGGTTTATGGCCTGTTCTCGTTGATTAGTGAGATATTGAACATTCTACTACCTTCTCTGTGACATTATTAGAACAAATAGGTTGATTGACTTTCAGTTGCTGCACAAGCATAAGTATGTGATTATAGAAAGAAATGTTTTACTACTGTAGTGGTACAGATTTGATGTCTTAATACGTAGTAATGAACTTCAAGAATCTAGCTGCACTGGACTTGTAATTTCCAGACTGTACTTTCACCATGTATAAGCACAATTCAAGAAATTTTGGTCATATGAATCTTGTCATATTCAGGTTTGATAGGGAAAAAAAATGAAGAAATGAATAGGTTTCAGATACTCTTTTTTTATATATATACTAGATATATGTACTTACATGGCCCAGAAAATCACTGAGAATCAATGCTTGTTAAGAATCTCAGTTATTAATAAGAAGGTAACTGTTATCCAGGGGTGGCTGTGGGCTTTGTCAAAATGGCATTTAGAGGTTTTTGTTTGTTTTTTTAATTTTGTTGGCAACAACATCTATCATTTGGCAATTTTTCACCAAATTTCATGCCAGTAAAAGTTGAACATCAAATATAGAGGGTTGCCAACTTCTATGAATCTGTTCAAGTAAGATTTTAGTAATGAAGCAAAATGATGTAATCTTGTGCATTTCCTGGATCAATGTGATGCTGAAGTTGACTTGGATTCAGCCTGTCAACAAACCACAATCTATTATAGAAAGCTGCTAATTGAACCAAAACATGAGATTTTTTTTCACTAATGTGTGTGAGAGTGAAAATAGGACCAGATGTATGAGTCTCATGCTCAGTGCGGGAGAGTGTTGGTAGCTCTGATTATATTTATTAAATAGCTCAATGTTAAATTAATATTTTTATTGAAATAAATATAAATAAAACTGATTGCTTTTTATTTTATTTACACAGTTTATAAATTTCTTGATCTTTGTCGTATGGGTACATATACATCAAAAATTAATTGTTCAAAAGTCATCTCCTGGTTTTGAAAATTGGTGACAGAATTCTTAGGTTGTCAATTTGTTTGACTCCAGCTTTTATATATGAGCTAGAGCATCCCCTGGTAACATTGAAATTTTTTATTGGATGTGTGATATATGTAGATGAAATAACATTGAAATTAACATTATTTTATATATATATAGTGAATTTAATTACATTAGCCACACGTTTACTGGATTATAAGTTCTTATTGTTTAATAATAGTACTTATTGTATGTTTACTTCACATTAATCGTATGTTATGGTAGTTTTCTTTATTTGTAATTTCATAGACTAAATATAGAAATGTAAATTTTGTGATAAAGTTTTAACCAGACAAATGTTTTGAACAGAACTGGTAATACCAAACAGGTGGTATTTTCTACCAAGCACTATTCTAATACCTTTAAACTATTAGTAAAGTGTACCAAGTATTTTGAAATAATAAGAAATAACATTTTAAAAATAATCAGTCCAAGTGATATTTTTCGTTTTATATTAACATTATGTACCATTCATGATTAGTGCTATGTTCTTCTTCTTTTGTCACTATTTATGGCTTTTATCCTGTGTTTTAATGCTAATTTCTTCAACATTTTAAGAAATGATAAATTTCTTTTGTTTATATGTTGTGAATGTGAGGTACAATAACATTATACTCAACACCTCTCAAGTGCCTTTTTCACAATATACAACTTTAGAACTGTATTTTAATAAATTCAAAATGATTCTGTTTATTATTGAAAAGATTTAATGATTATATGTTTAAGAGAAAAATAGTTATTAATTGTTAATAAAAAAATTGATGTTACTTGTTGCAGTTTTGGTAGCATCATTTGTCAATAACTTGAAAAGTATTTTTAGTAACTGTTTATATAATTACAAATTAAGAGTAATATTAAGATAATTTACAGAATCAAATGTTGGCCAAACAAAAATTCCTTTTTATATTTTTTATAATAATTATATAGCAAAATTTTTAAAAACCAGTTTAGTTTTTAAAAATGTATTTGGTGTCATTAGCTTCATCTAAGTATTAAATAGCTTCTAGTTTTATGCGAGTAAAGTGCAGATAAAGATTTTCAAGTTCTAAGTATATTCAAACTAATAAGGCTGAACACCCAGTACAGATATTGATTTTTTGTAAGAACATATGTTGATCTGGAAGGTTTTAGAGTAATAGGTTTAACATCCAGTGATGCATTGTTTATTTTGTTATTTTTTAATCAACTTGATAGATAATGCTCAAATTTACAAGGAAAAGTCCTGTATTTACCATGATGGTTGTAGTTTTAAAAATACTTTAAATATTTAAAGCATTCATGTGTGTATTGTTCTTTTATATATCCAGTTTTTATTTTGTCATATTTGTCAATGAATTGTGACAGTGTAAAATGTAGTTTTTGAAAATTTATTTTTAGGCTTTGAAAATGAGAGTATAAGTATTTTACATTTATTTAACATGTAGTTTTTAGGAGTTGCTAATTTTTTTTATGTATGGCGTATATTTAAAATTTAGTCTAGTGAAACTGATTCAGTTGGTTACATCATGGTAGGACATTATTTTTGAAAAGTGTTGGTACTGTTGTATGTTAGAGTAAACAACTTAATGTGTTGTTAAACTAATATAGCTTATAAGATAAGAGTACAAAACCAACCAAATTTTTATATTGAATTCATGCAAAATACTGAATAAAAAAGTAAATTATTTAATGGTGGAATCATATTTTTTTTTACACTCGGTACATCCTTATCTAACAAAAATAAGTTATATTCTTCTTGTTAGTTTCATACAACTCTTAATAAATATTCAAAATTGTCACTCAGAAATGTAAGAAAGCTTTTGTGTATTTTGATAATAGTTAAAGGCATCATATTTTTCTTAAGTATTATAGTATGACTATTTGAGTGATCTCTTATATGTTATAACCATTAGTTTGTTCAGATATTGATTGCTACACAGATGTGGTGGTGAAAAAGCTGTATGTTGTGTACATGACTGTTGTATCCCAAGTAGAGGGTGGCAACTTGTAGCTGTGGGCAATCAGAAGTTGCAGTAGTGTTTGCTGACCATAATTTGTTGTGAGTAGTCAGAAGTAACTAGCGAGTCATGGTATTTGAAAAAAATTCACTTTGGTTTTGTCAGTACATAAGGGGTAATTTTGAAAATACTGCAATTGTCTATATATTTTATTCAATACTGAGCGATTTTAAAATCTAAGTAAAATTTTCTGAACTCTAACCTCATGTTAGTGAAGAGTGATTTGTGTCTTTTCTAAGTGTTTCTTTGTTGTAAACTTTCTGGATTTTATTATGCCATCCATCTACTTGTACTTTCTCTTGCCAAGCAACGTTTTTCTTCTTGCACTGTTTCTGAACTGCTTTTAGTTTTATTTGGAATTTTAGTTTAGAATTTATTTCATCGGTGTTGTTAGAAGTGTTCAGTTGAAATGAACAATTGAGGTGGCTTAATGCTGTAAACATGCCATTCTTTAATTCGGTTGTCAACCAAAATCTCAAATTCCTGATTTAATGTATAATGGTATTGAAAGAGCTTGCTGTAAATATGATCATTTATATATATAGATCCTGACTGAATGTATTTAGTGTGGCAGAGAAGAGTAATACTATATACATGGATACTGGAAAATACTGTAGATAACAATTTTAAAGGTTTTAGTGGTTATGCAAACTGTACAATAAACAAAAGTATTTTTAATCTAAACGTTTTGCACTCTAACTTGTCAGAGTCAGACTGATATTGGCAATTCACAGACATGTCTTGAGTACTAAAGCTTTTGTAATACATCAGAGGTTTTGGGTACAACAAACTTATACATTTTACTAAAAGCTTGCCACCTTTTTTGTAGAGACATGCAATAAATTCTGGATTACAGTCAATATTCCTTCTCCAGTATCCTGTGCACATCTAGTTAAATTGAACAACACTTACAAATTAATGAATCTAAAACTGTTCAATATTATTTATTTGATGCCTCATTTCTTATGGTTAAACTGTTGTGGTATTCTCAGATACACTGTTTTCCCACACATCAGAGTAATACCCATTCTAACTGGACGTTTTTCAAAATATGTTTTATGGAGTTAAATCTATGTTTCTTGCTACCTAACTGAATTGAAGGAAAAGACTTGGCATAAGTTGTCAGTTTAAACCAAAAAAAAACTATATTTATGTAGCTAGACAAATGATGAACACAGTGACGTATGTGCACAATACAAAAACAAAAAACAGAATTTTTTTTCCAGTTGTTGAGATATATGTACCAGCTAACAGTGTCAGAGAAAGTTTGAATGATACTAAGAGAAGTAACTTTCCTTAAGTGCATTTGTCACTTGGTCATCCCATAAGTAAAAATAGAGATGACATAGTTTCCAGGTGTTCCTAAAACTATATTACCAGTGTTACTAGAGAATATATTTGTATGTGTTAAATAATTTTCTAATTACACCTTCCATGGGTGAATTCAGAAACACCAAAGGAGGAATAGGTCTGCCATTACTGTACAAACATGCATAGATAAAAAGTCTGAAAACTGGTGATTAAATGTTCACCTCTAGTATGTTTCACTTACCAAATTCTCTTTACCTTTAGACAATCTATAACCTCAAATTTTTAAACCAACCAGATATGTATCTATGGTACCTTATTTCTATGTGAGACAAACAAGCCTTATATAGTATGACACACACACATAGGACAGAGAAGTACATACCATTTTACAAAAATTTTCAGTTTAAGTATCATAATGCACAAAGGCATCATAACTGAGATCCTTTAACACTGATTTATCATACAAACGCAAAGATAAATTCATCTACTGAAATACACACTAGTAATATTCTTTTTAAAGAAAAACAGCATGTTTAATTTTGCCAGGGATGTATTTTTATCATGGTTAGTACATGTAAAACAATTTTAGTAAAACAAAAACATGTTTTATTATTGATACATGCAACACAGTTTTAGTCTTCCAAAAGATGTATTGTGCATATCTGTTACATTTACAAAATTTCTTTTAGTTTACAGAATAGAAAGAGTCATCAGTAGAATGATTGATCCCTGATGTTTAGCTTTTTATTTGGTTTGGCTAGGCTTTTGTGTGTTTATAAATATACTATGTATTTCGTTATTATGTCTTTTTTTTCACAGAAACTAAATTTTTCTTTTTTCAAGAAGGTGAACCTAATATTTTTATCTTTTAACCCCCCCAAAAATCAAATTTCTAATCTTCAGGGGAAGTTACCTATGAACTTTCGTTAAAATAATGTACTTAAAACTCTAGTCATCACACAGAAAGTAAACGTCTACAGATTGACAAATAACATCATTGCCATAGCCTTTTTTGGTTGAGGGTGATATAAAAGGGAAGAAATACTTTTTGAATCTCACCCAGAACATGATGTCACACCTGACAGTAGGTTTTCCAGCATGGCTGTAGACTTCTTGTTGGAAAATGTTATCTCTTAGTTATATCATTTGCACGTGCTAAGTTTTGTTAGATCAAGTGCCTCACAGATCTGGTGGAGTTCTCTGGCCATCTGTTGTTCATTAGTCTTGCTCTGGCCCATTTGCTTGACCTCTTCATGCTGGCATGGGTCCTATACTTTTGTTCACTTAGTTATATGGGCCTGGCAGTGATATTTTATGCTGTTGGTTTGCTAAAAGGTGTAGTGGGGTAAGACAAGTTTTGGGTTCAAGGTTGCATGGTGGTTTCACAGTTTATAATGCCTTCTTCAAAGTGAACTTTAGGAAAGTGTTCTTTGCCATTGGGATATAGTAATCCTACTGGTGATGGGCAAACATATCATTCTTATAACTTATAGTTTTGTGAAAGGCCAAGTATAGCCTATTGTGCCAGTATGTGAATCTTAGAGTTCATTGTTTGAGTCTTGCTGCCTCACACTTTGTGACCATGAGTGCATTATAAGAATGATGGTGAAATACTACTATTCAATTAAAATAGTTCAAGAGCGAAGAGTTGGTGATGTTGATCAGTTGCCTTCCCTCTAGTCTATTAGTTCAAAATTAGGAATGGATAGTGCAAATAGCCCTTGATTAGCTTTGAACATGTATAAAAAAAAACAACAACTAGTTTTGTAATAATATCTAATGGTCTACTTGAGGGTGTTAAGTGTTGGTCCTTTCCCTCTTTTTTAAAAAAGGGGTAGCCAAAAGGCTCCAGAATGATAGTAGAGATTTTCCTGGCTAGTTGTGGATACAGTTCATGTTTTTTTTCTGGTATGAGCTTCATTCGTGGGTCTTTGGGTTCCAGAAGTAAGCTGTCGGCAGCCTCCAAGAGACTTACTTATTGAGAATTTCATCAGCAGAGTATACTCTTTCAGATTATTTGTATTTGCCATGGTTTAGATTTAGTGTTATTCCTAGAGTCTTTGGGACCTCAGGATACTCCTTGAGGCCATCATTATTGCCAAATATCAGGGAAAACAGACAATTTAATCTAAAACTCAAAATGTTTGATAGTCTAGTTGAAAGAAAAAAATATTACAAAGAAAGTCAAGAATGTGGTTTTGTTTAGTTATAGATAGAATTGAAAATGCATGGTCAACTTATTTTCTGATATATAAGAAATTCAGGTAGTAAGGTAGGTTTGAATGGTGTAACTGAACAGTTATGATCAAAGTATACTCTATGAGAAAGTTTTAGATACAGTGTCTGAAAACTACATTCTGGTCGAGCATAATTTCTACAGACATTCGCATGTAAATGAATGCTGCCTGAAAAATGTTTTCCAAACATCCATGTACATCCTGTTTCCAAGAAATTTTGTATGCGATGTACATTTAACCAGTATACTGTCATACATGTCAATATATATGTGTAACACCACACACATACAATCATATAAACTTGTTTTGTTGAGTTTCGTGCAAAACTACATGAGGCATGTCTGCTCTAGCTGTCCCTCATCTTAAAGTGATAGACTAGAGGGAAGCCAGTTAGTTGATATCGCCAACTGGCAACTCTTGGTAGACTGAAAAAATGGATTTTACAATCACTTATGGTGAACCCACGGCCCTAAGGTGTGGAATGTGATGTTTTTTGTAGAAGTAGCTAGACATGAACCATGCAGTCTCAGATCCACAATCTGGCACACTAACCATTGAGTCATGCTTGTTCAACCATGCAAGTAAAATGTCGTATACATATAATCAGCATCACAGCTTATAATATATGTTTATAGCACTTACACACAGCCTGATGACTTGTGTACTGAAACCTTGGCAACCTAAACCACGTTCCACTTTCTATCTCAGTAGCCAAGGTAACTACCTCCATATATAAACTGATAAACCCAACTCTCTATTGGCATCACAAAATAAATAATTGAAGGCAGCATTTAGCGTAACTAAAACTTTTCATTTAAGGTTCACACAACCTGGTTCACTATTTGTGCTGTTCAGTACAGCGTACACGAATACACACAAACTGATACAGGTTAAAAAATGCATCACAGATAAACATATACAGACAAAGTCCAGTGAAAAAAAGTCTTTTTAACTGATTTATGATAGTCTTATTAATCTTCTGCACTGATTAAGAGTATACTACTTTCACTGCACATCTGGAAGAAGTGATTCAGTCTCTCATACCAGAAAGTGTGGATTTGTATGTAAATACTAATTTGATTCATTATTTCACAAACACACACACAAGTTCTCAGTGGTTACATGTACAAACTTCTTGCCAATGTTCATAATAAAAATCCACTTAGATATTTGGAAACTAAGGATTACAAATGTTTTTCAGCATACAGATGCATTAAAATTCCTAGCAATAAATTCCAGTATGATATTTTCTGGTGAAAGTTTCCTGACAAGTATTAGATAGGCAAATTTGCAATAAAAGCATAGTTTGCCCAGGTGTTTTTGAAGGTTTTTGTGAGAGATAATTTGACTTTTGTGAATAATAATGTGTGTGGACAAATTGGGAATAAAGATACCAAATCTTTATTTTCACAAATGAATGGAAATTGCTGTTATACACTCCTTTCTCTTTCTTGTTGCATTTAGTTGGACACCTTTCTCACAAGAGTAATTGCAACGGAACTAAACATGATGATCTAAGAAAGAGCAGATCATCTAGTAGAAAAATGAACAAAGATAGCTTTCTCAATTATAGCAAGTAAACTTGCTTTCTTTGTCCAGTGGAGGGTGTCACCTCTATTCCCTTCATCATCCAATACACTATAGGTAGCCCTATATTTGGTTTTGGCACAATGGATGTGACCAAAGCATTACTGTAACCATAGGTCACCTACACTTTGCTGAAAACTGGATAGCCGATGGACCATAATTACAAAGTAGTATCAGAACTTCTTCCTTTATTAGCTAGATTACTGCCTGAACTAGTGTTGCCTGCTTTTTTTGGACAGGAAACAGTTTGTCTCTTGCATGGCCTCTTTAACCATGGTTGCATGGTACCAGTGCATTAGATTATCTCTGGGTTAAACCACAGGATACTACTTATGTACTTGGAGGTACTATCATTCCATTTGCAACTACACTCATACAGTCCACTGTTTCTGGGTAGCATTGGTTGATTTTCCACAAAACATCAGTTTTGGAACTACTGCAGCAAAGTGAATTTAAACTAATAATGTTGAGTTTATTTCTTCAGTTTATGTTTTGTGATTTTAT